AAAGCGCACCCCAGTACACAAAACACCCTCCAGTACTGTAGTAATGAAGGTCTCTATTCTCCCTCCCCTGAGTTCTGCCCTCACTGAGAATTGAAGGGATTTAAATGCCCTTCAGCTCTGACAAAATGATTCTGCTCTGGAACTTAACTTATACATGCAATTGTTTTCCTCAAGGTATTTTCCATTGCTGAATAACAATGGTTTGTGGCTTAGGATGATCTCATTACTGTGTGTGTGCACGAATATAGCGAATCCAGTGAAAACAAATATACACAGAGAAAATACAGAGTTATCATTTGCCACTTGGCAGCTATATATCAGGTAAATCTCATGTTGTCCTCATTATATCTCTGTCTGCAGTAAAGTAAATGCTGAATTTTCTATAGCAAGTTTCCCAAAGATCGGGGCTGGCAGACTTTGGACAGATTTAAGGACAAGATTTATCGAAGCCTATTTTAAAACCTGTCTCTACAGTCACCAGCATTTATTCTGACTTCTCTGTGTGTGAAAGGACAGCATGCAACTTGACCTGGCTCTCTTTCAGCTGTATTTCATTCACAGCTGGAGCCAGAGCTGCCAAAACAGGGTCTCCGGGCTCAGAGTTATTTAACTCCCACAGAGACAGAATGGCATCAGAACTCACTCGTGCTAATCAGAAGTGGGAGCTGGAGGTTAGCTGCTCTAATGCCCAACAAAGACGGGCTCCCTGGCATGGTGAGGGGCTGAAAGCAGTCTAACCAATGACCAGCTGTGGCCCTCTGGAGGCCTTTCATCAGATTTTTTTTTTTTTTTGTCCCATTTTAAAGACAGAAGAGGCTTGCTTCCTGACTTGGAAGCTGTTGGAATATCAGTATCTTTGAATGATTCTTTATATGAATAAGGCAGAGTTGGGTTGGGGAGATCTAAAATTTGGATGCTGTAATGGAGTAATGAATGGGACAGAGTGCACTATAAAAAATGAATGATAACAGCCTATGGTTGGCCTTGCATTTTGCTGTTCAGCTTAATCAGTCCAGTATTGGTAATAATAAGATAAAAGCATTAGTAAATTGGAGATATAAAGTATAACTTACACTGAACAAAATTATAAACGCAACACTTTTGTTTTTGCCCCCATTTTTCATGAGCTGAACTCAAAGATCTATGACTTTTTCTATGTACACAAAAGGCCTATTTCTCTCAAATATTGTTCAGGCAAATGGTGGTCACACCAGATACTGACTGGTTTTCGGACCAGTTTTTTTTTTATGTCATTAAGGGGCAAGATTACAGTTATAGATCAGTATAAAAAAATCAAATAATCAAGAATAATTTATACAGAAAAAAAGAAAAAGACAAAAATTGTGTACAGATGATCTGATCAGAATTTCTTCCATCAAAAAAATAACATCAAAAAAATAACATGTACTATATTGCTTATTTCACAGACATACTCAGAAAACAAACCTGAACTTTATACTGAGTGCATCACAGACATAATGCCATTAATTTTTAATTTGGAAAAAAACAGTGATCAGCTCTTCCTGAAAAGCACTAATTCTAACAGTTCGGTACACTTTGTTCGGTACCTTTAGGGGTACAACATCTTGTCACTGGTACAATACTCTTAAAAGAACATCTTTGTACTTTATTTAGCCCCTCAAAAAAATCATAATAGTACCTTAATGGTATATACTCTAAGGTACTAGAATACACTTTTTAGGAGTAGATGAGATACAAAGGTGTCCTTTTAAGGGTGCTCCCCTGTGGCAATTTGTTGTACCCCTAAAGGTATAATTTTTTTACTTTTATTTTTTATTTTTTACAGTGCAACGTTTTACAGGATGACTGATAAAAATCCCAATGTGTTTTTACTCCTAGATGTTGGGTAGCAGCACCATGCAGCCAATCAAATTAGCACTGGCAATTTCAGCTGGCACGTGCCATTTCTGTGGGCAATATGCATCAGATGGTCATTAAACAAACTGTGGGCGATCATTGGGTGTGCCGTCTGAGGCTGAGACTAATGCTTCAGTGCATGCATACACACACATCCCCTTGCATCCCCTACATAAAGACAAGTCCTCAAAATGAACATATTAACTTTTATTGAGGTTAAACATTAGTACTAGTACACCTACATGAAGAACGTGTCTTTGTTTTATTGTCTAATTCACCACTAACCTTTATCAGCTCCTGTTTTTCTTGATTACCAGTACATAAATGCTCTCAGGTAAATAAACATTATCTTTTAATGTGTAATATACTGTAAATATTCTCTGGACAGCATTTGCATCAATGTGTGTAATAGCCCAGACTACAAAATATCTGTTGGGCGTTTGACAGACACATGGTGAACAGTGCAGAGCTGAAGGGAAGGCGAAGGAGAGAGTGCTGTCTCACTAAAGTAAAATAAATCTTGTCTGTCTGCATAGAGGTTGTCAAGAGTCAGCCAAATATTCCATTTAAGCATTCAACATAATTAGAGAGAGTGAGAGACATTTGTTTTAACATAGACCTGAGAATGCCCCAGACAATGTCCAAGGACTTATTAACATTCCCCTGTTTATTTAAAAAAATATCATATAGCCTAATTATAATTATTTAAGAAGTTGTAAATCGACCAACCACAAAAAACAAAACAGCCCATATCTTCTTCATGTAGGGTCAAATTAGGACGTCCTACCAAAACAAAATAAATAAAAAGCGCATTTACTCTGTTTAACATGTAACATGGTAAACATGGCAACATGTTAAACAAAATATGCATTGAGAAATTGAACATCATACATATCAAACTGTATATCAGTGGATCTGAAGGGTTTTTTGTGGAAGGAATTAATATGCATTAACCCAAAGTGATCCAACTTTCAACATACTGATGAAACTTTTAATCATGTCATGTTATGTACATGCAACTGTAACACTATATATATCTCAGACAGCACATAATATTTACGATTTTATCTGGAGGACTGGACAGTGATAAAAGAAGAAAAACAGGAACATAGATGGGGAAAGAGCTCAGGAACAAGAAAGTAATCTTGTTATTATGTTTTTAAGACCATAACTGCTATAGTGGATGCACGTGCAGCAAAGATCATTCTCCAGTGGAAATGAGGACACTTCCCCCAGTCAAAAGTATACTTAGACAGAGTGCAGTTGCATCATACTTATTATATAACTCAACATTGTCTTTTAGTTTAGATCAATATGTTTTATAAACTGAATGAGATGGTGAGGAATGTGAGTGGTCAGTTAATGGCAGTAATGAGCAGAAAGACATTAATAAGCAAACACTGACATACAGTAAAGAGAGGCTGGAGCAACAATTTGTGCCTGTAAGGGAGGTAATGTGTATATGTTAGAAAGGGAGTAACAGTGTGTTTGTGCACGTTTCAGGCAGAGAGAAAGATATTCGTCCTCTAGCAATTACAGTAGCACCAAAGTAGCTGATGTGGGGCTGGGCCTGGGAAGAGGGAGGGAATGAAGTAGTAAGGGAGGGATGAAAGGCGGCTGTGGGAGGAGAACACTTGGAGAAAAAAGGGAAAGAGAGAAACTGATGCAAGCATCTCAGGCCGGCAAACTAGATGCACTAAGGAAGCCGAAGAAGATACAAGCTCTTTTTGTAGATGACTGCAGAATTCAGAGGGTGGTGAGCTCAAAACCAGAGGAAAGGTAGGAAATTAGCCTCAATAATTTAAAGTCAGACATTGATGTGAAACTAGTAATAAATATGATGTATATTATTCTCATATATTGAATAAGAAAATATATTTTGTGTATTCATATACAGAAATACTGTAATACAGATAGTACACAGTACACTGATAGATAGTGGTCAGTTGGTCTTTTGGAGAAGTGAGCGAGTGTGTATGTACATGCAGCATTAAATGACACAAGCACAGAAACCGCTGAATGCTTTAGGACTGCTGTAAACATTCACACAGTAGGAGAGCTGAAAATTACACATGTGGAAGTGAAAAAAAAGTGATAAGGACATAAAGATCTCAAGATGCAATTTCAAGCCTCACTGCTGATTAGCCAAATTTGTAACTATGCTAACACAATTCCCGATTAGTCATCATTATGTTAGAGATAAACTAAAGACTAAGGGTTGTACATGTTCTCACACAAAAGCAGACAGATATTCACAATGCAGTCTTTAGTCATGAGTGATGTCAATCTCCCATAAAGATTCAGAACAGACACTGGTGATTTAACACTTCCTGTACTCCTTGAGACCACTATCTGTTCGAATGGCAGCTCATTTTGAATGGCACAGCCTCATTCATTAGAGCCTAAATTGTTGCTTGCACATTCCTCTAGGCTAAATTACAAACGGCTGTTTGAGTTGTGTGAAATTTTACAAGCATCCACCAACCGCTTCCTGTTTGAGTGGCAGAGTCTTCTAAAGGGTTTCATATTGAAAAATGGAGACAAATCAGCACTAATGGGTCCAATAGCTGTATTTCACTTATCATATCATGGTGTCATTAGACATCTTAATAGTTACATATTTATTGACATATTCTGTATATGAGTTTGCTTATAGGCCCAAGAACCCAAGTGACGTTGGGCTGGGTAACAACTAGTTGGGATCTGGGTGTTGGTTTTTGTTCAGTCTTGTTTACTTTGTTTCATTTTTTTTTTTTTCAACTTTTACTGCTAGTCTCATGCCAAAACACACATCTTTTCTAAAATGTATAATGCTGTTTTATTCGTGGTCTTCCGATACAATTAAAAATAAAGGTAAACTAAATCAATAAAATTGCTGTATTTTAACAGTATCAGTTCACATCATTCTCGCTTGTTTATATAATCTTCCAGTACATAGAGGTAAACAGATTAGTGTGGCTCGAGCTCTAGGCTAATTGGAACCTTTATTTTTAAAATGCAGGCTTGATATGGACAACCCATCTGCCCACGTCACAACTTTAATAAAGATAAAAATTAAAAGTTACAAAAAAACTGATGTCACATTTGTAATCTAGTCTGTTTTCTTCGCATGTGTTTTGCAGATGTCATGGCGGCCGACCTACCGGAGCTCCAAGTTTCGAAACGTCTACGGCAAAGTGGCCAATCGAGAGCACTGCTTCGAGGGCATCCCGATCACAAAGAACGTCCATGACAACCACTTCTGCGCGGTCAACGCCAGGTTCCTCGCCATAGTAACGGAGAGCGCGGGAGGAGGATCCTTCGTTGTTATCCCGGTCACTCAGGTAACCACGGCAACATAGCACGCGCTTGTCCTCGAGACAGATTTGTTTGATGGCTTACGCTGAATTCATGTAGGGCGTCAGACTAGCACAAATAGCGACATGAATAGTGCGAACCTTTCAAGAGCCTTATTTTTGCAACATACATCCAGGCAGTGAGTTTAAAATGGAGGTTGCGTTGGTTGGTGCGTAATACTGCGTATAGGGGAGAACGGTAAGTGTTGCGAAATGGAGTTAAAACCGTCATTTTAACCAATTATGAGCTACAGGGGTGAAATGTCACTCATTAACGCCACAGTCCAATATATAGTTTATTTATTTATCGAGTTTTACAAAAGATGAGACCAAATGGACATCTTTCATTACGAAACAAAAATATATGGGGATATAATGCAATATAAGTAACCTTTATACAATACTGACTGTGTCAAAGCAGCTTTAAAGTGTCAAGCAGGAAAATAGTTTGGCAATAATGCAAGTGGACAATAACAAAAAGTAATTTTTTCAGTTAAAGTAAGTTCATTGATGATTCAGTGATCATCCAGTTTAGCTCTCTTCCAATAGTGTCTGTGTGCAGTCAGTCAAGCGATATATTACATAATACATTTACATATATGGGAAACTAATGCTTATATTTTTCAATCTACTGCAATATATGCATTGACCATGTATGGCTATATATTGATACATATTAAAATGAGGACAAAAACAGCATTACATGTAATATTCATAAAGTTTTATTCTTTATTGTGCACACATATATTGCACATACATGTTCCCATATAAATGTGAATGTATGTACACGCATATATACAATCATTCACAGAATGTAAGAGTTACAGCAGATTTCTAGTTCCCAGCATGCTTTGCTTCTGACTGTTAAAGGAGAGTAAATATTAAATTTAAGTGTTATTTCATGTGTTTTGATCAATATTAATATAGTGTGAAATCTGTTAGTGTTTAATGTTCTATTATTATTGTTGTTGTTGTTGTTGTTGTTGTTGTTTTTTGTTTTTGTTTTTTAAAGGGTTTCTGGTATTTTTGAGTTTTTGTGCTGCCTGTGGTTAGGATGACGACTGGCCAAACACCATTAAGACTATATATTACTTTATTTAAAAAGTAATGGCTGTGCACTCTTCAGCACGCTGATAGTCTGTTTGCTAAATAATTTAGTACAAGCAGGTGTGCTTGTGCTGTTGTTAACTAGCTATATATGAAAATATGAAACATGTCAATATTTATGAAACTAAGAAATATATTATACATGTGTGTGTATATATAGTGCATGAGTAAATATATGTGAAATATATGTGTGTGTGTGTGTGTGTGTGTGTGTGTGTGTGTATGTGTGTATGTATACATACACACATGCAGTACCATATCTTATCACATGTACATCTATATGTTATGAAGTGTATTACTGAATATAAAATTGCATATATTGTAATATATAATTAAACATATTGTCACATATTTTTCGATATATGAAAGCGGCAATTCCTTATGTAGTATTCAATATATTGTAATATATTAACACAATATATTATTCTGTATGTTTTCAATTTACCGTTAAATCATTTAATATATTGATCATTCATATATAAGGAAATATTTTTTTTTTGCTTAAGGGTTGTCAGAATTATCTCACTTCTGAGGACAAATTTGCCCCAAAGCATGACCAACTACACACAATAACTACACACACTGTTATGGTTTTTAGTGTGTGTATGTGTGTGTGTATGTGTATGTGTGTGTGTGTGTGTGTGTGTTGTGTGTGTATATATATATATATTTATGTGTGAATTAAAATTCATGTTTTTTTTTTGTTTTGTTTTTACCATGTTAAAGTAATGCAAATATATATATATTTTTTTAATAATAGTTACAACCTACCCCAGTGCTCTTTGTACTTGACTTTAATTTGTAGCAGTCAGACATGGTAATATTAAATCAAAGTTTGAGACACAAAGCACAAAGCAAAAAATACTGTAGAAAATACATTATTAATAGAAATACGTTCTTATAAAGGCACATGTGGTGCACACTTAAAGAAACCCACAGGCCTCTGTCTCTCACTCTCTCTTTCTTCAACTAATACTTTAGTTGGCTCTGTTGTAGAGTATTATGCATTTCTTTTGCATGGTTTAGGCTCCCTTTGCACCAATACACAGTCATTTCATGATCACTTACATGCTGTTCTGAATGAAAATATCTCTTTCAACATGATTATATTGTATCCAGAGAGCACAATAAAGTCAAATTAATGAGCAGAATGTTATGTTATTGCCCTGTTGAAAATGAGGTGAATTGTAGTTGAATAATTTTGAAGAGCACAAATGTTTGTTTTTGCATCTTTTAAGAGCAAGTATGCTATCTCAATTACCCCTGACTCCATGGAACCATGAAGTCTCTCACCCAGTGGCTTGACATGCTCTAAATTGAATCTTTCTGTTACCCTGTTCACAGGCCAAGAAAAAGCCTGACTAGTGAGCAGAGAGCAGATGCTTTTCCTTTGTTTGATCTCTGGCTTTAATGCTGTAAAAGAGACAAGCACTGGAAGCTGTAAACTCCTGGTGATTGACACTGATATAACAGTGGTGTGGACAAATCAATGTGCTCTGGCTGGAACAGATCAGCTTTATATGTCTGCTTCATATGGAAAGATAGAAGACAGGGTTTCTGTATGTTAAAGAGATAGTTTACCGAACAATTTATATTCTGTCATCATTTACTCACCTTCACACTCTCATGTTGTTTCAAACCTGTACAACTTTCTTTCTTCTACAAAATATATTTTGAAGAATGTTGGAAACCAAACAGTTTTGGTTGCCACTGACTTTATTTTATGGAAGAAAAAAAAAACACTGACACATTTCTCAGAATATCTTCTTTTATGCTCCACAAAATGAAGTCAGTCATACATGTTTGGAACAACTTGAAAGTGAGAAAATTATGACAGAATTTCCTTTTTTTCTGTGAACTATCCCTTTAAGGCCTGCTCAATTTGAGAAGAAGGCTCGGTGTGAAATTTTGGTGCAGTAAACATTTTAATTTCAGTTACTGCCATAATTCATACAACCTCTAAGCTGCACACTTTTTCATCAAAAAAGTGGTACAAAGAGAGGAAACAACATAGCCTTGTGTCTCAAACACACACAGCTGGCAAAAACCCATTCCTCTCACTTCCTCAGGGCCTCCCTGCTTGCTTAGCACAATCTGAAACTTCACATTAATATCTGATTTCTCAAAATGACTTCTTTTATGTTCCACAGAAGAAAGAAAGTCATACAGATTTGGAACAATATGAGGGTGAGTAAATGCTAACATAATTTTTGAGTGAACTATCCCTCTAAGTTATTATCTTTTTGTAACTGTTACTGAGTCCTAAAGATACAACATGCAAAGTTAGTGAATTTAAATGTTCCTCCAAATTCCACCTCCACAGCAAGTGGACAGAATGCACAAAAAGCACAGGCAGAAAAAATGACTCGCACACCGTTTATCATTGATATGACAATGAGAATTTGGCGGACAGCCTCTGATGTCCCATTCTTCTCTTCAGTCATCCCCTCTCTTCTTTATTCTGTCTATTCTTCTGTTCCTCCTCTTGAGTGCATCCGGTCATGCTACACTGCTCAGTGGGCCTGCAGACCCTCGGACATTGTCTCAGCCAACTTGGATAAACTATCAATAGCACTTTTGTGATGAACATTCAGAGTCGTCCAGTTAATGTGTGATGTAGAAGGCCAGCTTTGTGTCCTTAATGTGCTTATTCCACAGTGTTCGTGACTCCAACTGGGCTCCCAGGCCTTGGCAAAGAGTTCAGTCCCTCTGACTTCCTTATATGTTTCTTTGGACGCCACGTGGGGCTATTTTTTCCCAGCTTCTTCATTCTCCATCTCCCTTGTGTCTCTGTCTTTCTCAGTCTAGCACTGACAGCTCCCTGCAAAGTTTACATACTTACTGTAATACTGAGAAATTCTCTGTCACCATCACTGAAATCTGCCATAGAGATCAGAGAAATCACTGTGAAGCTATAGTTCATCTTTAGCTGCATTATGTAACCAATATATGTGACCCTGGACCACAAAACCAGTCTTAAGTCGCTGGGGTATATTTGTAGCAATATCCAAAAATACATTGTTATGGGTCAAAATGATTGATTTTTTCTTTTATGCCAAAAATCATTAGGATATTAAGTAAAGATCATGGAATTTTGTAATTTTTGTAATGTGTGTATGTAGATTATTAAATCTTTCTAATGTGTTTTTTTCAATCCAAGACATTAGTCTATATTACAGAGACAACTGTCTGATTAAGAATAAGCAATTATCATAGTACATTTGAAATCCAGACACATGGGAGCAATATAGTGGGAGAACATTGGCTTTTCAGATGTAATTCCTCATTTGACAAAGGAGCTTCAGTTGTGGAATGGACACTGCATTCAGAAACCATGATGAGTGTAACACCAAGCCAGCAGAGGGAGCCCTCGCCCGAGTATTGACTGTCAACGGTAAGACTGGCATTGCCAGACAAGTTTGATGGCTCTGCAGGAAAATGTCGTGGTTTTATCCGTCAAGCCCGCATTTATGTTGAAAGCCAGAGAGATCAGTTTCAATCTGAAGCAAGTAAATGCACTTTTCTGATGTCACTATTATCTGGTAGAGCGATCGATTGGGCTGCAGCGGTTTGGGAGACAGATTCACAGTTTCATTCATCCTTTGAATATTCCCTACAACTACTCAGAGATGTGTTTGAATATCCCGAGGGGGGCAAGGATATTTCCACACAATTGTTACACATGTCTCAAGGCAACCGTACCGCTGCAGATTTCGCCATTGAATTTAGAACCCTTGCCGCTCAAAGTGGATGGAATGATGTTTCTCTGAAGGCTGTTTTCAAACAGAGTTTAAACCTCGAGCTTCAGACAGAACTGGCCTGCAAGGGTGAGGATTTAACTTTTTCTGAGTTTGTCACTATGGCTATCAAGATAGATAACC